GAAGTTAACAAAGGGAAGTGCAGAGTCCTGCACCTGGAGAGGAGCAGCTCTGTGGTGCTTGAGGCCAACTGTCTGGAAAGCTTTCAGGAGAGGATCTGGGCCGGCAGTGTGCCCTCGGGGCGAAGCAGCAGCAGCACCTCGGGCTGCACTGGGAGGCGTGTTGTCAGCAGGTTGAGGCAGCCCATTGTTCCCTGTGACTCTGCACCATCGAGACAATACCTGGAGTGTCCAGCTCGGGGCTCCCCAGCCCAGCAGAGACACGGACATGCTGGAGCGAGTCCAGGGAAGAGCTGAGAAGGTGACCAAAGGATTGCAGCATCCTGACATGTCAAGAGATGCCTGTGCTGGGACCCTTCGGCCTGGATCAGAGAAGGCAGAGGAGGATCTTGTCAGCGTGTGTACATACCTGGTGGAAGGGAGTAAAGGTGGTGGAACCAGGCCCTGCTCAGTGAGGGGCACAAACGGAAATATATGAAATTCCATTTAAAAATATGAAAAAGCCTTTTTTTTTTTTAAAAAAAAAGTGAGTGCCATCAAATACTGGAACAGGCTGCGCAGGGAGGTGGTGGAGTCTCCATCCTTGGAGATGCTTGCAACCTGAATGGCAGCAGTGCTTGGCAACTTGCCCTAGCAGACCCTGCTCTGAGCAGAAGGATCGGACTAGCTGATCTCCAGAGGCCCCCTCCAACCTCTGCAGTTCTCCCATGATGCTGTCACAGCAGCAAAAGTCAGCCAGGAAGAGGAGTCTGTGAGGGAGGTGGCGTGTGGTGGGTTTGGGGTTTATTTTTGTGGTGTTAGATTAGATTCATGGTAAACCAGAAATAAGTATTGCACCTCTGCTTGTCTGGCATGTAAACTGCCTTAATGGCTGCTTTCTAGCCAGGGGAATCTGTTCAGGGACATGTAGGAATCAAAATGCAACCCGCAGCCGTGTGCGCTGAAGCTGGCCGTGCTGTAGAGGCTGTGTTGTAATGCGTACCTTAAGGGCCAAGAGGAGGGTATCATTATCCCCTTGTGCTAATTGCTTTTTCTAAGGTAGATGAACCTCACAAAGGTATGTGAATACTTTCAAGAGTAGGTGCAGTTTCCAAGAGGAGGAAGGCAGGAATTAGAAATTAACCTCCTTCAGAGCTGAGCTGCCTTTCGCCAGGTTAGCAAGTAACTTGCACTGTACCTCGCCTTGGAAGGGCTCCTGCAGCATCCCGTAGCACGTGCCCCCTTGCTGTGATCTCGTTTCATTCCAGGCTTTTCAGATTCCGCTCCAGGACAGCGGATGGCATGCTGCCGTTACTGCAGAGCTCCCGCCGCACTGGTGTGCAGCTCGGTCCCTTCTCTGCTCCTCGGAGCCCTTGTGGCGAGGGGACTGGCGAGGGGAGTCGCACAAAGAGCGGAACTGTTGGAGAGAGGCTGCATTCTCTCCACTGGAGAGCTCTGGCCTGAAGCAAAACGCCATCTTTGTGAAAAGAAGAAGAAAACAAGACCTACCTCAAAGATTTGTGCACCCTTAACTCGGTGAAAGACAGGTCCAGATGCAGATTTCAGGGTGATCATGTCGCTGTTGGTAGAACCTGACTTAATTCTTCATTCTCTCTCCTTACCTACGTCTAGGCTACGGTACCAGGGGTACTTTGGAGGCGTAACTGCTCTAACAAGAGACCAGTTTTCCAAGGTGAATGGATTCTCTAACAACTACTGGGGTTGGGGTGGAGAAGACGACGACCTTCGAATCAGGTAATAAATAAATAAAAGGCCTCCAGAGGTGGGGCACGACGGGAACCTTCACTCCAAACCAGCGTGGCGGGGGGGTTGTGCAGTCTGAGGTGCAGCCCTGTGAAGGGTTTCCCCTGTGGAAAGGTCAGGCCTGCCTGAGACCCGCTCCTCCTCCTCCTGACACGGTGTGGGTTGGGTGTGGGGTGGTTGGTTTTTCTGTTGCTGGTTTTCTTCCTTGGAAATTGGTCATAACCAATGTAATAAAACTGAAGCCTGGAGTGTGATTTGCCAAAATTTGAGTTCCAGTACTTTGCAAGAATGTGGGAGTGTGCCAGTGAGTTTGGGTTTGCTGCATTCACTGACTGCCCGGAGTTACTCCAAGCAGGGCTTCGTTTGTACGTGGGTGGTGTTGATGCTGGTTAAGATAGCGAGTAACTCGAATTTTAGAAAGACTGCATGCAGAGGCACGTGCCCTTTGCTCTAGTTAAAACTAGTTTTGCAGACATGCCTCTCGAAGTAGGAGAAACCTGTTAGTTTGAGGGGTTTAGTGGGACAGAGAAGTCAACAAAACTTTGATGTTAACCTTTTGCCTAGGAGGAAGCCTCTAATCCTGCATTGCTTTTAGTGAAGGAAGAGGGGAGAAAAAACCCCACACAACAACAAAAAGCCCCACAACCCTGCAAGCTCTGCTGGCACAGCCTGTCCGTTTGTAACTCGGGTGTACTCTGTCCTTCTTGAGTGTTTATCCTTTTCATTTGCTTAAACATGCAAACAAACGTTTGGGGGGACATAAAATTCATACCCCTGGTGATATTAAATAATTGGAGTGGTGAAATCAAGCGTGTTAAAGTTAGGAACTTCCAAATGGAAGTGTGTCTGTCAGTTCAGCAGATGGGTCAGCTGTATTTCAAGGAGTCTAAAAGGTCTGCTGGTGACGTGGATTCCTGTGCTGCCTCAATCCCAGCTTTCACCTCTCTACCCCTAGCTAGACACACCAACTTCTCTGTGACCTCCTGGCTTTTGTAGTGGTAGGGGATGGCTTAGTACCATCTCATTCCCCAGCTTGCTGAGATGTGTCGCCGTTAATGAGCGAGCAAAGGCCGTGGTGGCATTCTTCCAAACGTTCCTGTGGGCAGCAGAGAGCCAGCAGCAGATGGGCAGGATTTGCTGAGGGTCTCCAGTGCTGGCCAGCGGCTGGAATCAAAAGTGATGCTCGCTTGTGCCTGGTAACTACAGCTGCTGTTGTCCTGGTGTGGAAACCAGACCCTGTGCCCCAGAGCGCACGCTGCCACGGGGCTTGGCTCACGCCTTTCCTGTGGGTAGGTCTGGGACTGGGCTGGTTACAGAGCCCTGCAGCGGGTAGGTGAGAAGGGCAAGCTCGCTGTCTCGGCGGGTGGTTGTCGGGAGATCCTTGCAGCCTGCCTCTGCGATGGCAGCAGAGGGCAGCATCCCCTCAGTATTTTAGGAGCTCGGCCTGGATGCTCTAGGTCCTGCTGATCTGCCTCCGGGCTAAACGTGGCGGTCTCTTGGGCCCCTTCCCGAGGTGTGTCACAAAGACTTACAGGTCTTTTGCTTGATAATCTGCTGGAAACGTGTTCCCAGAGGCTGGGTTTCTTCAGTTCTTGCTTTCTCATTGCTTTCGACTGCTGGTATGACTGGCAAAGACCTGGGCTATTCCTTAATTCCATTGTCACAGTTAACCCTTTCTGCTGACAGAGCAGAACTGTTGGACGCCACAGATACGCTTAAGACCAAAACCTGCAACCAAGTGCCTGATGTTACTTAAATCCATGTATGGGGCTTAGTGTGTTTCCTGGCCCTGTACTCGGAAATTTCTCTTCGTGGCAACAAAAATTCTGCAGCTGCCTGCCAACCACGCTGTTGTGTAACGTGTGCTTAAAGCACTACGTGATCCCTGCTGTAGTAGCTACCTGCTTCTGTTCAAAAGAAAGGGGTATCTGTCACCCGACCAGGCCTGTTCTCTGGAAACACAACCGAGAGCCCTGTCTCTGGCCAAATGGGTTGTGGGAGAGATGAAGATCAGTCTCCTGCAGTTCTCTCTGCCTGCTTCAACGGCGTCTGCAAGAGACAGTGTCTCCAAACATTGTTTTTTCCCTTACGAGCTTGTTTATAGGTGATGTCTTGCTCATGGGCAGTGTTGTTGCTTCCAGGGTTGAGATGCAGAAGATGAAAGTGGTGAGGCCGTCTGCTGACGTAGCCAGGTACACGATGATCTTCCACAAACGAGACCACGGTAACGAGGAGAATGGAGAGAGGTGAGTCAAGAACGGGGTTCCACTTGGCACTGTCCTCTTGGTATGTGGCACCTGGGGGCCGAGTTCTCCCTTCCAGGCCAAATAGGCATTTTGTGGTACCGAGGCTCTGGGGGACACCCCTGCACCCAGTTTGCAGCTGGCAGCTGTTCTGTACGTGGCATCTGCCTAGAATCCACTGGGTGATGTTCCTTACAAAATTCCAAAGCTACGGTTACACGGATGTGCTTTGAGCCTGTGATTTCAGAGATTAAACCAAAGGAAATGGTCCACATTTAGGGCAGGAACAGCGTGGCTTTACAGTCCCAGCAGCTACAGAATGGCTGTCCTCTGCCCCTCGGGTTACTAGTAGTGGGAAAGAGATCAAAATCCCCTCCTGCGCCTGTCAGCCAAGACTTTTCTCCTCTTTGTCTTCAGGATGAAGCTTCTACGTCAGGTATCCAGAACGTGGAAAACGGATGGGCTGAACTCTTGTTCATATAAGCTGCTCTCCGTGGAGCATAACCCTCTGTATGTCAACATCACGGTGGATTTCAGCACGGAGCCGAAGGTCTCGTAAGGGCGAGCACCACCCGGGTCGCAGGAAGCGGTGACAGGTCGCGGTTGCTGTTACAGCAGGTGACTCCCAGCACTCTGCTCCCAAGGCTACTTCAGAGCACGGAAGGAACACTTTCTTCACAGCATCTGCTTGGTTGGTTGAGTTTTTCCTTTTGTGAGGACTGGAGATACAGACTGCCCCAGGGGACAGGGCCTGGTGTTCTTCTGTGCACTTTCTGCTGGGACACCTCCAGCTGTCCTTGTTTGGGCTGGTCCAGTGGAAGGACTTGAACTGAGTCTCCTAAAAAAACCTTTGGTCTTGAAACTATTCCTAAACTGCTTTGTTGTAGGGCAGCCTAGCACTGTGGATGCTGCTGTGACTTCAAAAGGAACAGGCCAGTCTTTTCTTATTAAAAGCACAAGAATTCATCAGCAACTACAAACCCGCTGAGAGAAGTTAATTTTTTTCCAGCCTGAGGGAAGGGCAGTAATGGTCACAGGTGAGGAGATGTTACGAAGTCTCTCAATAAATACACTCCATTGAACTGCAGAGGCTTCCCTGGTCCTTCATGAGCTGAGCGGCTCACCCTGCTGAAGCATCCTGCAGTGAAACGAAAAGTCCCGGTTCTGCACTAGGCTGCAGGTCGCATTATTCCAGAGGGATCTGGAAGGAAATGTGGTGGCCAGCTGTGTCAGGGCAAGAAACTGCTGCCCATGTTTGTCACACTTTGGGCCACACCCTTAGCAGAGCACGTATTCGCGTACGCACCCAGGCCGTCACTGTTGGCAAAGACGGGTGGAAAGGCTGTGGCTTGCTGCAGGTTTTCTGCTAAGGTGACTTATTAGAGCGCTTTCCTCACTGTCCTCACGCCTGCACGTTGGATACGCGTCCTTGGCGGTAGGTATGAAGCCAGGGGTGGGAGAGTTTCTTGTAGGACGCAGCATATGGACAAGACGGAAAGCAGCTTCTGCTTACTGTAACACTGAAGAATGGTTCTCCAGCTGGTCGGCACGCTGTTCCAACTGTAGGGAAGGCTGAGGCCTTACATAAAACCTTAGCTGTTAGTGGGACAGGTGCAGCTTTTCAGTGAACAGGGAGTTTTAGGGTCTACAACTAACAGGCAAGAAAACCCTGTGTCATGCTTGCAGAATAACTGGACGTGGCAGGCAGTGCTCCTGCCTGACTTCAGAACAGAGACAGACTGTGGAAAGGGAAAGGTCATGGGCACAGGGTGACGGCTCCACTGCTAGCATGTTTCACTTAGGTTTTTCCTGTAGTGTTTAATTTCTCAGCAGTATTTTATGTTGGAGACAGCTCAGCCTTGAAAGACAAATAGTGTTGGAGCAGCAGCTGAAATACTAGATTAAATTTCCCTACTCTGAGCAGGGGGTTAGACTAGGTGACAGCCCCAGGTCCCGTTCAGCCTGAATCACTCACAGCTACACTGAAAACATTTACACGCCACTGGATCAGGCCAGAAAAAACCCAAGGGTTTAGGCTCTGGTTTGTCTGTTTTCAGGGAAACTTCCTCTGTTACTAGATTGTTATTAAATACTCACAGAAAAGCTTAACCCAAACATAACTTGATTTATTCTACTCAAATTCACAAGAGATATTTACAGAATTCTAACCAGCTTCAACAGTTTTTCAAAATACAGCGCCCTGTATTTTTTCAAAATACCCTCTGCCAAAACAGCCTGCATCCCAATTACCACTTTGGTACAAAGCAGGACAGAGCTATCCAGCTATGGAATGAAGGTTCCAGACAAGTTGGGTCAGCTTACTGTTGAGGAGCCCTTGATTCCCCCCGCTGAGGTGGGTCTGGCTCAGTAGTCAGTTTTACAGCAAGCCAGAGCCTGTTTACCAGCTCCCTACACTGTTCCTGAAGCCCTTTCTACTAAATCTTGACGAGTCGGAAGAAAAGGGAAAAGCACGACAGAGACACGGGTGGTGCGGGCTGCACCCCACACCAGGAGGTGGAGGCCGAATGCCCGTACGCATGCTGCCCCCAACCTCTGCTTCCGCTAGCCTCCGCTTACGAAAAGGGGGGAACGTATCCGATGTCCACAGTGATGTTCGTATAAAGAGGGTGCTTCGTCCGGGAAAGGAGCTTGAACTCGAGTGAATTCATTCCGTCATCCTTCCATGTTTTTCCAGTGTTGTGTCGGGAAGGAGGCCTGAAGAAGGAAGAAGAGGCACAGTCAGATGGAAGAACAAAGGCTGAAGCTGCAGCGGAGGGGAGGAGGGCTAGGTGGATGCAAGCTGCCAGCGGGAAAGCCCCAGGACAACGCACGTGTTGTAATACCGACTAGAGGGAAGGTGTTTTGTCAGGTTAAACCGATTAGAAAAAGTTCACCCTCAGTATTCTCAACAAGGAGGACAATTTGGACTGGAACCTAATCTGACAGGGAGAGCAGCAAGGTGGCACCTACAGTCTGCAAAAAGCCAAGGAAGTGGCGGGAGCTGGGAGAGCGGGACACGGGGCGCGCAGCAGTGGTGTTCACGGGCTGCTGGTGTGTTTTCAGACAGGGTTGTTACAGAAACCCGAGTTTTGAGGTGACGGAGGGAAGCCCGTGCTGTTGGTACGAGAAGCCTCGACCCAGTGCCCTCCTCCAGCTCCTTTGTGTAAAGCTGGGACTTGGCTCAGATCTCTCGTAGCACCTTCCTCATGTCTTCAAGCTGGAATGCTGCTTTCCAGGGTGGAGTTACAATGTGCCATTAAAATACAGGCCGAAGAGCAGGTTTTTATGATAGGGAGGTTGTAACAGTGCCTCTTCAACCTGAACTCCCTCTTTACCCGACGGAGTATTTTTTGAGTTTTATTCCCTGAATAATTTGATGCTTAAGCCTGATCGGTGTTAGCTAGCACGTGTCCTTAACAACAGGAAATAAAATGGGAAATGAAGAGAAACCCTTCAACTGCCAAGACAGGAGAAGAATGATTCAACTGAAACTGTCTGGGGGCCGCCTTTAAATAGCCCCCTTGAAGCAGAAAAACGAGCAGCGCCATCAGGTGCACTTACTGCCAGTCCAGGGGAAGGTGACAGTAATGAGGCAACCACAAAGCAAAGAGTAGCTTCCTAACTGCCCCCGCAGCAGGTACCTTCTCCAAGGGTCTTGTGTCTCCGTCTCTTCACTGTAGTCCATCACTTTGTAGCGTCCAAGGTGAG